CGATGGATTTTTGAGGGGCATCCGTAGTTGCACATTACAAGGTAGCATCTTTATATAAACTTTTTCCTTAACATAATGAAAGAAGTACCTCTTTTGGGATAAAATAGCCAAAGTATCTCTAATTGTTTTAGGTTGCCAACACCGACCCTGGGCAATTTGAAAAAAACGTAATTTTTTTTATTTTTATGATATACTTGATTGATATAAAAATTTAAAAACATACCTTCAAACTTAATTTATAATGTTTTGGTATTGTAAGGGTTTCAACCCATTTTTTTTATATTTATTATACTTATTCTAGAGCATTTCTAGAAGGATGCATCCACCCTTCCGAAATTTATCTTCAAGATGGATTAATAATTCAAAAGTTTCCCTTATCTATTTTTTCAACCACCATAATTATGAATTAATAAAAAAATAGTTTTTAAAATAACTCACCTCGTGCCATTTTTATCAGACGTATCCATTTTTGGAGCTCCAAAACCATGGACTCGAGGAAAAAGTAAATTTGCAGCGATTTAAAATGTGTTGGAGGTCTTAATATCTATGAAATGTGGTAGGCAAATGAAACTAAGAATAAAAGTTCTCAACAAAAAAAAGTATGCATCCGATTGATGAGACAGTAGCGTGACGTAAAAAATATCGGTCACACACGTGTGCAATACAAAATCAATGGACATGACCTCGTAAATGTAGGACTTTTTATGGTTGTATATACCCGCCATTGAACTTTTATACAAAATCGATGGACATGACTTGGTAAATGTAGGACTTTTTATGGTTGTGTATACCCCATTGAACTTTTACTATATGATCCGGTTTGTCACTATCTAAATGTAATATATTGGAAGCTTGAATATTTTAAGAGAGAGAAAGGGAGAGAGTCATTTAAATTGTGCTTACAAAAAGGAGTCGGTTAGTTTATGACATATGAGAGAGAGAGAGAGAGAGAGAACGGTTGTTAAAATGGTTTGTAGAGAGAGAGAGAGAGAGAGACCGTTCCAAGGATTTTTAAAATAGTTGATGAAAGAGTAGTTGAGACGCCACCGAGTCTTTAATGAACCTTGAGAACGACCGAACCGAACCGATTCTTTTATGAACCGTGAGAACGAACGAACGAACGAACGAACCGCTCTCTTCTTTTGACGAGGGGAGGGGCTCTTGTCAAAGTTTTCTCTCTCTAGAAACAGGTGTAGGGGGATTCTCTCACCAGAAGAAGGCGAAGACAGGGAGTAGGAGAATACAAAAGACGATGGCCACTATTAATACATAAAATGAAAAAGCCACGCGTCACTCTTCGTTATTTATGAAAGCAAAGTTCAGAACGGCTTCCTCACCACTTACCGCAGCAGTGGGCCTTTTCCCATCACTTTCACCGAAAACACTCTCTTCTTCCTTTCTCTCCCTAAACTCTAAAGCAAGAAAGCTTTTTCAGACCTTCATGTGTTCAGTTCTTTTGCAGTCTCCTCTTTGTGTTCTTTTAAAAGTCCAGGAAAAATTATGTGGGTTCTCTTTAGTCTTTAATGGCCTCCACTTTGTTACTATCTTGGAGGTTTAATTGCAGAGAGTCTCTTTCCTGAATCAGGGAATCTGTTTGTAAAGGCCAGAATTTGGATTTTTTAAAACCCTCGTTTTAATATAAAACTTTTGCTTATCTATCCTCTTCAATGGAACCTGACCAATGAAACAGTCGATTTACTCTCTTTTTTTTTCTCCAATTTTTGCAGCTGAAGATTGATTTTTTAAGTTTTGGTTCCATTTTTTCTTTACGAAGATGACTATTTGATTTTTTTTTGGAAATTTTTGGGTCTCAAAATGGACCAGTTCTCACACATATATTATGGAGTGATGAAATCTTTCTCTGTTAAGAACAAAAAGTTGAGGTGCCCTAAAGAGGAAGGAAGAGAAGTTGCAGAAACCCTAGCAAGAGGTGCCAAGAAGAACTCTCAGCTCCTCTGCTCTCTCAATTCCTCAAATCCTCATGTTTCTGTGTTTTCACAGAGGGGAAAGAAAGGGATAAACCAGGATTGCACGGTAGTTTGGGAGGTATCCTCTGTAACAACTTTTAACAATTTCAATTTCTCATTTTCGAATTTTTTTTTTTAGCAATCTGTAATATCTTTCAGAATTTTTATGTGATAATCATGTATTTGTTGGTGATCTAATGTCAATTTTTCTTCTTCTTTTTTTGTTGCTTAATCTAGTTTTTAATTTTAAGTTTTTTTTTGTGAAGTAAGTATTTCCTGGATATAAGCATTGGTCTTGCCTCTTGAGTAATTGTTGTTTTGGATCCATGGAAAGTAGTTAGTTTGTCAGTGTTGCAACTTGTTTTATACATTATAACTTACAATTGAATTATATGGACTACCAATTTTTATATGTATTTACCCACGACCATGTAAGAGTAGCTCTGCCGTTACTTACGAATTTTTTTTTTAAAAAAAAGGTGCGAAGAATACTAGGAAACAAAATTTGGAATGAAGAATCACCTGCTAATATTTCATGAAGATCAGGAAAAAAAAAAATCCCATAGGCACCAAAATATTTGATAAAAATCACTCATTAGAAGTCGGCCGAGATCTTGACAATCATGTCTACTTTTATTACTTTAATACATGTTACTGTGAAATCCATATCTAAGTAGTATAAATTGAGTTACATTGATGGGTTCCAAGTCTCCCTTTAGATGTCCTTGGAAATGAAAGATACATTAGCATTTTAGTAAGCCTTTTGTTTGGTACTTCTTGATTTTTTTTCATGTATGTTTGCTAGGAATTCGGTTGTCAAAAAGACATGGTATTTTGTGGGGTATTTGATGGGCATGGTCCATGGGGCCACTACATTTCAAGAAAAGTTCGAGATTGGATGCCTCCTACTTTGCTGTGCCAGTGGCAAGAGATTCTTGCTTTGAATCACCTTACTTCGAATGTGAAGAAGCCCTGCAAAACTGTGGGAAACGATGTGAAATTTGGAGGGATGGATTGTATTGAAGCATTTGATATTTGGAAGCAGTCTTTTCTTAGAACTTCAGCGTTGATTGATGAGGAACTTCATAGGCATCGAGGTATAGATAGCTACTATAGTGGTACAACTGCAGTTACCATAGTCAAGCAGGTAACGAGAAATAAAAGATTTCTCTTCTCTATGATTCCTATCTGTTTTTCTATCGTTGTTTTCCTGTGTACATTCATTAGTTCTTATGGTCTTGATTTGTATTCTCTCATGAATAATAATATTTAGGATTCACTATTAAGAGTTGCTTTGAGGGAGAATTGATTTGTTTGCTTTATAACATTCAATTTAAATTCTAGTGACAAATAATTTATTCATTTTTTTTTCCCCTTTTTTGTATTGTTTACCATAGAGTGTGTTGAAATTGTTTAAGGAATGATAATGGGCTTGTATTTTAGCTTCGGCATCTACAAAGCTATTACAAGCTATCTATACCAGGTGTTATATTAGAATCCTTTGTACAATCTCAATCAGTAAGTTTCACTACTCTTCTATTTTTTTTGTAGGACCAAAGACCCAATCCTGTTGTAATTTGTACTTCCTTTCCCTTTCGTGTGGATCTCACAAGTGTGTAACCACTTTCTCTAGGGCTAACTGGTGCTGGATACTCTGCTAATTAGAGGATTCTTATACATTCTATCTAAACCTTCCCCACCCCAAACTGGATTGAAGTTTCAAGTTCAACTAGTTACACTTCCAGGGTCTGGAATATATATGGTTGTTAGCTCTTCCAGTGAAATGAATTGTCGTATGAAAATGAAGTGTCCTAGATTAAGTTTGGGGTGAGCTAAACACTTGGCTCAATGAAAACAACCTATACAGTATGGGCAGCAGTTTCATGTCTTCACTTTAGAGGATAATATTTTGGGGTTAATCTATTGGTTCTCTTTCCAAACCAATCACCATCAGAAATTCTGAAATAGAGGGCTAATGCAGGCCTCCTGCATGGTTATGCAATCTAGCTTATCTGAACATCTAGGGTATTGTATGTATGAGTATGGTCACACATGTCCAAGTCCATCTTGCTGGCAGTTATGCTTCAGAAAACATTTCCTGCGTATCTGAACTTGAATTAGGACTTGAGAGCACAAAGCAAGCCAACCTTTCTGTAGCATATGATAATAATTCAAATATGATTTTGGATGCCTTGGCATTTTCTTAGCCCATTCAGATCTATTATTGCTATGCTCTTTCCAAAGATTGAACCAAAGTATATTGAGAAACGATATTGAGCATCGCTGCCCTAATTTTATCGTAGCAAAGTCAGGTATTGTTTACATATGTTCTTCTCCAAAAGAGTTTCACCAAAGTATATTGAGAAACAATGTTGAGCATCACTGCCCTAAATTTATCATAGCAACTCAGGTATTGTTTACATATTTTCTTCTCCAAAAGAGTTTCTCTGCGAGTGTTGTAGTCGTGTGGGTTTGCCCTTTTTTGAGAGCTTTACAGAGCCCCCAACTTGCAGATGGCCTAATTATTTTTTGGTTTTCTTCGTGTTAAGTTTTTAGTACAAAACAGTCGACCTTCCTTGAAAAAAACAAAAAAAAATAAAAAATAAAAACTAAAATAAAGAGTTTCTCATGAAGTATCTCAACAAGAGTCCGAGTATTAGACAACAAATCAGTGATCATGAGGGAATGTCTACTTGACGCTGGTCATTACGGTGTTTTGTTTTAGCAATGGAAAATTATAAACTTTGAGGATGGAAGTGAAGTCTGTTTCCGGTAAAGTATATGTGCGGGACTGCATTATTTATATCTGGATTTTTTTTGTTTGAAAAGAAACCAACGAAAGCAAATAACTATTAAGGGAAAAAAAAAAAAGGAACAAATATCCTTATTAAAATTAGTTTGATAAACCAACGAAGCCTCTGAAAAGGAATTCTTATTCTCTCTCCTTATCACAACTTCCTAACCTAATGTATCCTTATTTTCAACTACCTTGATGAAGTCAGTGAAATCCATTTGGTTCACAGATGGAAATAACTCTATCTCGTGGGTGGTCTTAAGGCAGCTATTTGCCACACTTGAGCAGATGGTCATCTGAGCCATGCTTTGGCTTAAATTGCAAGCAAGACGGGTAAAGGTAAAAAGAAATGTGAAACAACTAAGAGCTTTTGGGATATGTAATGCATAATATTTCAATATCTTGTAGATTATTATGTACCTGGCTTTTGTGAGTGCTGGCTTTAGTGTAATGTTAAGGCTTCCTCTTTCCTTACTTCAAGCTGAACCTAGAGCTTTGGGACTATTTGGTTTTGACCATATTGTGATGATGGTGAGGACTACATGGTAGAGCATTAGTGGTTTTGTGAGGAAGTTTGGCATTCTGTAAGGCAATACCTAAATAACTTCTAGTTAGTTTGTGTTTCTAAATTGCATATGTAATTAGCATTTTTGGTGCCACTTGGGACCGAAGCTATTATCTATAAGAGACATGGAGTTAGACTCCTTTCAAGAGACAGGATAATTTATGTTGAAAATTTTCTAAAAGGTCCATAAGTTTGGGTGTGAGACTTACTGAGATAGAATACATGTTTGGGGTGCATGTTGTAACTTGGCACTGAGTATATGACAGTGAATCGGTTCTGATGTTGTAATTGAAAATTTTGGATTCTCCAAAGAAATTTTAAATTTTGGAATTTCTAGCCCTGACTTTATGTTGAGGACATTGATGCATTGAAGTTCGGATCTTAACTACTACTCTCTTGTTGAATAGTTTATGTTAATGAGTCTTGACAATTGAAAGCCTTCTTTCTTGTTTGAATAATATTTATTGGCAATTTTTTTTCTAATTCTTTTTGGGGCTCTTCAATTGAGAAACTGGATTGCCTTTTGAGTTATGCTTTTCTAAAGCTTTTTTAACTTCAATTCCAGGGTGATCTCATTGTTGTTGCAAATGTTGGCGACTCCCGCGCGGTGTTAGGGACAACCTCTGACGATGGCAATTTGGCTGCAGTCCAGCTAACAGTTGACTTGAAACCAAATTTACCTCGTAATCTCTCTCTCGCTCTCTCTCTCTCTCTCTATATATATATATATATATCTTCTCGTCTTGAATTTCAAATTTGAGTTGATTAGTGATCTTCGGATAGCATATAATTTGTTAGCCATATTGATAACCCATATATGGTGCTACACATTTAACTGTTTGTTACATTTGGTAATATTAGAGGAGGCAGCACGTATAAGGCATTGCAATGGCCGTGTATATTGTTTACCTGATGAACCAGGAGTCAATAGGGTATGGTTGCCAAATGAAGAATCACCAGGGCTTGCAATGTCGAGAGCCTTTGGAGATTATTGCCTCAAAGATTTTGGCCTTATTTCTGTGCCTGAAGTGACTTACAGGCATCTAACCAACAATGACCGCTTTCTTCTCCTCGCTTCTGATGGAGTGAGTACTTCTTCTCATTTCTTGTTCTTGCTTTATCTCTCTGATTTCATCTTTTTTAGTTGAAATTTTTGTTGAAGTTTGTATGATGAGAGTATGATTCGAAGTATCTTTGATATGAAGTGTCAAGAATGCCCAAGTGGCTAGAAAATATGCCATGCATCACTGATATATGACATCTAATGGTGTATGCCCCTATGGTGTACCATATTCCTTACATGTGTATTGTTACCATTGTGTATCTTTTGAGTTACAAAAGAAGGTTTGCTCTTAGAAATCACTAAAGGACATCGTGGACTTGGAAAATTTGAGGCAACTTATGATCAAATGTTTTAGAATTAGATATGGTGCTTACTTGATTTCAGAAAATATGTTGCAAAATTGAGATTTTTGAATGGAGGGGTTCCTTTTAATAGATTATGCTCATTGATGGACGAAAATCAAGTGAAAAGAAAAGCTAAAACTTTCATTGGAGACATAATTCAATTGGATATTTTCCACTGACCAACTTGCAGCCTTTTCATCAACTTCCAAACTGGACAAAGGTAATGGAGGATGCCTTCTTTTGGCAAATATTCTTCCATAAATGCATCTGTAAGGTTGTAGTACAAGTCTTTCCGAACTTGGTGTGTTCCTTGTTTTATGCTCCATGAATGTATTGTTTCAGAGTTACATCCTGCCACTATCTAAAATTTCTCTGCATTACTCTCTTTATTTATTTATATTTTATTTTTTATTTTTAAATTTATATTCTGAGAATGAACCCTACAACCCAGTCATTTAAAACATGGAATTGGACCCTGAATCACCAGGGAACTGATTCCGGTTCACCTGGTCTGACTCAGGTGATTCCTTAGTTGTATCGGTGTATGGACACAATAGAAATTAAAAGAAAGTAAAAAACTGGAAGAATCGGATGATTCTGGGGTTCTGTCGAACCCGATCCCCCACCCACTAGTTCCAATTCAAACGGGTGATTCCAGTTTTAACCTATGATATTCGAAACACTATTATAATCTTACTTATAACTGTATTTTCATAGTCCACTGGGTCATCACCATTGGGCACTGTTCTGGACGGTGTAGCCTTCTGTTCATCACCGTACTTCCTCATTCAATGGTGATGACCTGAATGGACTATCATTTTCCCAATCGAATGGCTTATGATATGATTTTCCTTATTTTTTGTGGGGCTTACCTAAAAACTTATTTATGGGTTTATCCAGGTGTGGGATGTTTTATCGAACCAAGAAGCAGTAGAGATAATTGCTTCTTCTCCTCAAAGAGAAACTGCAGCCAAAAGGCTGGTTGAATGTGCAGTGAAGGCATGGCGTTGGAAGAAACCCGGTTTAGCAGTGGATGACTGTGCAGCTGTCTGTTTCTATTTGGACAATTTTTTATCTCCAAATAAGCAGATTAACTCATTTAAGCCAGCTTCCTCCTCAAGGGTAGAGAGATATCGAAACGAAAAAGCATATAATATAGGCAAAGGACTTCTCTGCAAATAGGCGAGTTTCCAACTGCCATTCTCAGTTTCATTATTTGTCTTTTATAACCCCAATCAATTGGAGTTTGGTATATTCTCAAACAGATGTTTCTCATCTACTAGAAAATAATCTCTGTGGGCCTTTAGATATTTGTATTTATCAACCAATCTTATTTCCTTTATTTTCTATTCTTGTGTTATTTTTCTCCTTCCGTAGTTTTGGTATTCTCTCTACCTCACTGTTTTCTCATTTTGCAATGGTTTTCTTTGTTTTTTCTTTATCCTTTTTGGAGTTAAATAATTGGAATGCTTCATTCTTCATTTCAAAATCCAAAATACCTTGCACCTATTAGAAATTAAACTACCAGATTTAAGAATTGGATTGATACTCTGTTAGAGTCTTCATGGGCCTGACATGGGTCGGATCTGGGCCTCTACATGGGGCCTGTTGGATTTGGCCCAGTTTGAACTTAAGACCTGTGATATTAAAGGGCCGGATATGAGCCTTGGTATCAAGGCCGGATAGGCCCTTGTTATATGTAAGTTGGCGGGCTGGTTCATCACGGCCTAGCCATTTAGTTTGTTTCTGTCTATATTATATGATTATTAATAATCCACCAATATTTTGGGTGGATCAAGAAAATTATAATTGACTTTTTATTTTTTTTAAATAGTATTTTATTATGCATGTGATTTGCATAAGGTGTCAGCCTTAAACATTCAAAATATGGTCCACCTCCAAAACTTTGTTGAACAACGTAGTTTTGGTGTCGGAAATTTTTATGATGAGGGGAAACTCTATTTCGAAGCCAATTTTTTGCACACTGCTCCAAACCCGTACGGACCCTCTCTGTGAGCCACATTGTGGGACTGGTGGTACCCTTTCTTTCGCTCAGTCCACAAAAGTCCTGGTTAGGCCTCAGCCTGATTGGGGCTAGCGTTGATAGCATATTTATCCTTGTTCATATTCTAAAAATGAATTTGCATGATGATTCATTTCATTATTAGCCTAGCTTACAATGAGGAACCCCACAACACAATATTCTACCACACGAGCTTGCATGTTTAAATGATGCAATAAAGGCCACATCAATTTAGAAAGGAGAGAGAAGTATTTTAGTGAGGGATATGGTTCGTATAAATGTGAGCCTCATACTATTGAAGAAAAGCATACCTTAAAACTATGTTGAATTATGTAGTTTTGGTGCCGGAGAGTCTTCTAGTGGTATGAAAATCTATCATCATATTTAATTATGAAATTTAAAGCTCTAAAAATGATACAGATTGAGCAGATTTATAAACCGTTAAAATGTTAAAAATAGATGATTCAAATAATGTGTATATTTGGTTGAGAGAGGGGCGAGACTTTTTTAGAAGTATTTTTTTAAGGGGGAATATTACAAAAATGGCTAAACTACTTTAGGGAAACCAATAAGGTAGTTGACCAATCTTATTTAATAATGAAAAAGGTATATTTTAAGTTTCATTTCGCTCACTCTTTTTCAAAAAAGTATATTAAAAAATAGTCAAATTAATAATTAAATTGCACATATTAAATTCGAGATTTAGAAATCCCAAAGAAGTTAGGGTAGTCTTGTAATTCGGCTCAACTTTTTAGGCATGCAATACAGAATTTGGCTGTAAAATTTTATTTCGTTTTCTAACCCTCGAAAACCAAGAGTATGGACCATTATGTCTTGTTCAAGCTTACCATATTTTGTAAAGAAGTTCCTTACAAAATAAAATTTAACAGATAATCATCTTAATATTAATGAAACGATTTGACCTGTAAATTAGTTGATTCCTAGCCACACCTAACTTCTCTCAAATATATTCATTGTGAAATTAATAATTACACACAATTGACTTGGTACCTTTCAATAAAAGTAGCTTACCTCAAACTTCTTTGACCAACCTTCTTTGTAATTTCTACATATAAATAGAGTATTTTGTATTTTATCTAAAATTTTAGGATCCGTTCCTAAATCACTCTTAAAGCAACCTTTTCCTGTGGATTTTTTAGGTCCTCTTTAATTCTACTTTTTTTTTCTTTTGAAAGAAAACAATTTACCGATGGACAAAACCTAAAAATTAAGAAGAAAAAAAGAAAATGGAAACGCACAAAGGACTAGGGACCATGGAATGAGAAAATACATATCGTAGATCGACCTTGAAACTGTCACAGATGAAGCTCCAAGTGACTCTTTGGGACTGAAGCGGTGATCAACCCAAAAACTGCGAATTGCGTAAGCCATAGGAAAGAATTGTAGATCCCTTAGTTCCGATTTGAATTCCAATCCGATTAAACGAATTTTCGATTATTAAAAATGTTATTTTCTTCGAATAAGTCCAGAAAGAAATATCTGGCCTTCTTCGCTTTCTCGTAACATTTATATCTGGTATGAATTTAGGTTTGTAGAAATGTTCAGTTCAAGTAATATAAGATGGTCTCATTGATTTGAAGGGGCACATGAATGATTTACGGCCAAGTGGGTGATCTCCAATTCGATTAATGGCAGCTGTAATAGAGGAGAGAGAATGATGAAAATGGTAGAGAGAGAGAAATCTGACCATTATATAGAGAGATATAATGCAGTGGTTCTTGAACGTTCCTGTGGTAGTTATCAACCATGACCAAAGCCATTAATGAAGTACTCATATCAAATGTTCTTAGATGCTTTTTCTGGATAAAAATACCATACCAACAACATTATACCAATGTTACATTCTGCAGTAGGGAGAGTTGTCAAAGAGGTGTTGACCAGTGGAACCTGTTGGTCGGGGCTGGGTCCATCAAGTAGAGTCCAGGTCCATTTCTACCCAAGTCTCTTCTGGATCCGGGGTCAACCTTAACAAAAATCGGGTTGGGCCGGCAACCATAGATACTTATGTATGGCCCAGAAGGACCTAGACCCTACCCAAGTCTCTTCTGGATCCAGGCCACCCCTAACAAAATCGGGTCGGGTCGGGTCTGGTCGGGAACAGAGATATTTATGTGTGGCCCATGTAAGTATGTCTTAAATTTATCTTTTATGTATAATATGCAGATTTTTTAAATACATCTTAACCTGAACTCCAATTGGCATGGACCAGACCAGGGTATGGGTGGGACAATGACTTAGAACCAACAGGCAGACACCGTTACAAATTTTTAATATTGGAAGCTGTCTCTACTTTATTTACCACCCAGAAAGAACCAAGCTTTCTCTAATTGAGAAACCAACCAATTACTCCTGCTGCACATGAATGAATATAAGCGGCAGTACAGGGCCACTCCTACATTAACGCTCAAGCCCATCTACTGGCTATTACTACAGTCGTGCCTTGTGCTCCTTTTCATTCATAAAGTCCACTTGTATATAAAGAACTCACAAAAGGGGGAAAACATAAGGACCCCGTTAGCATGCCGGCCAAGCCCACACATGTAGATATGCGGGCCATAATAAGTCTATTTTTTAGATGGATTTTGAACTTAATTTTTAAGGATATGTAATCTCTAACATGGAGATCATGAATATGAATAAATAAATAAATAAATTTTAAAAATTAAAAATAATAATTCTATTAAAAAAATATTTGGACTGTTAGCTTCAATTGTTTTTAGATGGACCACATATTTGCATTCATCTTTAAGATTGATGCTTTATACTTCCTGCATATGTAGAAATGCGATCCAGGCCGCATGAAACTATTTTCTTTCTATAAGTTAGCAACCTCATTTTGTGCATATGCAGGCCCGCACTTAAACTTATAGTAAAGTAGTTTTTCACTCAAACCTTTAGGTGTGCCTTGCTGAGAAGAATTGACGTCTAAAATTTCATGTAATTCGGATTTGAAAAAAAAATTAAAATTATATTATGAAATGAAGTCGTGACCGTCAGTCGGCCCAGATTCAATCTTAGCTGTTGGGCTAACCTTAGATTCTCCCTCTTTAT